GCAGGATATCGATAATTCTTTTAGGATAGTTTGCTAGACAGGAAACATGTGGTTGTCATGCTGGCCACTATATCTATTTTCTAATCTCCACGTCTTTAATCTATTGTGCCGGCTTTACTTGTCGTTACCTCGTCATCTCAGATCGAATATATCAACATACTTTTCGTCTAGACGAGTTTATTCCTACCCCTACTCTACCATGACAGATGTCGGGCGTTGTCGAGTCGCTAAGCTGCCCAAGTTAACGAAGCTAAAGAAATCGTTGTTTTATTAGTATGCATGAATTATTTGCCAATATTTAGATTTTCGCTGAAAATAAACTTCATCAATCTCTACTCGAACGCAATTTTACCTACTGGCTAAAACGTTACAACTTTTATTCCTAAGTAGACACAATGTCTTAACACAAATCCCTTAACTACTCCATACCCTCCCTAAAATATGAACTTTTAACTATGTCTAATGGACAGCTAATCTGTCATGCCTTGTATCAGTAAACTGCTTTAAGAGCCTACCGCCATTTGAGATCAATAATTCCTTCCGTGCCCTCTTTGCCCTTTGGTGCGACATTTTTGTTTTTTCGAACATAAGTGGGTTTTCAAGAATACCAGTATATCATATATATTAGATGTATTCACCCTACTTCGTTAACGTAATGAAGAATTGGTAGTTGAATTTTCTCAGCTGAAGTTTTCTTCATCACTTTAACGAAATAAGGTGAACACATCTCATATAAATGAGATAGTGGTAGTTTCAAAATCCTACTTCTAAACGAAAAATGAGTAATGTTGTCTATTGCTCTAGCAAATAGAACTTTTCTTCTTCGACAATCCCACCACTGAATGTGATATGGGAAAATTCTTGACTTTCTTTGAAATTCACATCTGTCCTGTCACTCAGGAGCACTCATGGCAGTGTGGCATAATTGTCAAGATTATATGCTGCACTACCACAACTCGGAGTCGTGTCCCGTTGTGGGTGCTGGTGGGACCAGTTCAGCGAGATCGAAATTGCAGTCCATCTCGGATAAGAATACCTTTTGGGAAAGCAAGGTTATGTAGCATTTTGTGGAAACATGAGGCCTACTCATTTCATTGTAAGGAAATCCAACTATCAGCCCTTCATCACCTTAAACGAAATAGGGTGAAAACAACTCTGACAGACAGATTTGAATACACTTAGGGATCATCACCAACTCCAAGGCTAGTCGACGCCCTGATATTAGTGGGTTATTTTAAGATCAGGCATTCGTTGTTGGCAGTGGCATGCGCTGTATTTGGTAGCATAAACCCTAGATATAGTGTATTGGCAGAGCCAAACCATAAATAAGGTGATATCATTAAATCATTGAACATGAGGGACGTCTGAGCTTAACTGATATGCATCAGTAGGATATAGAAATGGAAACATTTAAGGAAGGCTGGTGGTTGTAAGGCTGGTGGACAGCAAATTCAGTCACATGGTACATGAAAATTCAGAATAGAAGTGGGTTGACCTCATTGTCGCAACTTAGTCTTGTTGTCAGGGCGACTTAGTAGAACGCACCTAGTCCGAAGTCGTCTGCGATTATAGTTGTCATGATTTCCAGCATCAAACAGTGGACTTGGTACATTCTCAAACGTTTTACCGGCATCGTAGTCAGCATCATCAATGAGTTTTGCCATTCTCCGCACCAAGCTACGAACTCGTCAAAGAGACAGAACATTTTTGGAGGCATTGACTTCACTTGTCTCTTTGACGAGTTCGTAGCTTGGTGCGGCGAATGGCAAAACTCACTGATGATGCCAGCGAAACATGAGAAAGTACCAAGTCCACTGTCTGATGCTGGGAATCATGACAACTACTATGGCAGACGACTTCTGACTAGGTGCGTTCTACTAAGTCGCCCTGACAACAAGACCAAGTTGCGACAACGAGGTCAACCCACTTCTATAAATAAAAAGGAGACTGCGACCATACCAGAGGCCATAACATTTTGGTCTTCATATCTTCAAGAAAACTCAGATTGTTATCGCGGATCAACTTTTGGTTTGATTTTGGAGTCTCTTGTAGGTCATATTCTAAATGTGCCCTAGTTCAGGTCCTTTGGACTATTTTATGTAAGCTCGGACACTTTCCTCTTTTATTTATTTGGCTAAACCTGCATAATGTTTCTTATTTATTTAATCCAAGCCTACTAGCATCATACCGCTTTTGATGCGCTTTACAATTTCATACTATTTTTACTGTATCTATTACTTTCTAAATCTATTCTATTTGCTATTTTGTGTAGATGTCTTACTCATATTGCTTACAAATAGGGCTAATTAAAGAGGGTCACTAAAAGATAGTACAGCGATCAAAGTCTGAAGTTAGGGGCATAACGATATGTCCAACTTCGCAACCCCACTTTGTAATACCTGGTTTTAGTCTTAATATACTCTGCTGATGTCATAGTAGTGATGGTGAAAATTCTATGAAATATTATTTAAGCTTGAAGGCTTACTGTTGTTGATTGGCACAGTTGGTCTCTGCATCCACTTTGAAGTCTTTTAGTACATAAGCCACAGACCCACCCTCTCTAGTCATCCTCTTTTAAAGTAGAGGGTATCGGGGCTATCTTTGACTTAGTACTGAATGCCATTTTACTCGTTTGTATATCTAATGAAAGACGCCATTTAAAGTTTCGTTTATAAGTATGTTTTCGAGGCTCCCATTTGGAGTTACCTTATAAACCTGGTTTCAACCTATCTCATGTATCTGTTTAACGTAATTGTCGGCATCGTAACAAAATATTCTACCCCTTTAAATCTTCTTTGGCAGGTTTGATTATCGATGCATTCGGGGAACTCCGTGATCAGTTGGAGCAGATCAAAGAAGATCTGGAGTCAAAATGCTTCATCTGTGGAATTGGCAAAGACTACTTCGACAAGGTACCACATGGATTTGAACAGCACACAGAAAAAGAGCACAACTTTGCTAATTACATGTAAGTTTGAGATGATTTAGATCAATAGCGTATACGTGAATGATGAACCTTTACGAGATTCATTTGTGTCCGTCTCGTATATCTGCGGTTTATTTGATGAGGATTTCAAGTAACGTAGCAGGTCTCAATTTGATCTAAAAATGCGGTCCTGGAATAACTGTAGCACTCATCCTAGTCCTTTCAATTTCTATTAGTCAGGCTTAACTTTTGGGCAGATACTAGAAATTTTAATCATCCTATTTAAATTTATTACTTCAAGCCTTTATTTGGCTTTTGTGGGCTGCGAGTAAGCATTATTTGTCCCAAGGAACTGGTCTCTTTCATATATGATAAGCCTCCCTGGATTTCATCGCACCGAATATCAAATGATTTCATAATACTACTTCACGTAGCCTTGTTTTACACATGTTGAATGGTGATCTCTTGGTTGACCAAGAGATTATCCAGAAAGTTAACGGTGCGAGTTTAGGGCTTATTCTTGCAGAATGAATGAAGAGTAGATTTCATTTAATTCTACGCGCCATTTAGATTTTTCGTCTGTCTTGTTTTGCTCTTTTATGCTCGGCTGGAAAACTGATGCTTTTTTTTACTCTTTTCAGGCATTTCTTGATGCACATCATCAATAAACCGGACACAGAATACACGGGTCAGGTGAGCACATGTGACTGCATGTCCAGGCTTTAGTTAGTTAATCCCACACTTCTCGCACGTAGACACAACCAATTGTTTCTTAATTGTAGATATGCTATACTGCAGCAAACAGCACCCAATAGTTAAGAAAATTTCAATCTGAGCGTTAGAACAAGCTAAACTCATGGCACGTTAAGGGAAAGGGTGAGAATAAGCATAATCATATGATGAAAATATATTGCTCTTGAATAGTGAGCATTTCGTGCTGACCAAATATGTTTTTGTCTTAACTGCTTTCTTAAGCATATTGGCATGCTTAGCTCCAAAACCAACAATTTTTAAAGTTTTGATTGACTGAATTTTCCATCGTATTTTAAGATACTACTTTATATATATATATATATATATATTTGTCTGCGGGCATCGGATGGAAGCAAACTATGAAAAAATTGTAGTTCGGAGTACTCATAAATTTTGATGACAGATTAACTCCAAAAACGGTTTTATTCACTCATCTTCTATTCCATCATCAACCCTAGTGATTACTTTTCTGCAAAGCCACGTTCCACCGCAGGGACTAAGATGCAGAAGTTCAGCTAAATATATCGAACGCTTTTGACCCTCTAACTACTATCTTTCAGATGCAGTCTTCTCCGAATATACCAAGTGAGAGTATCATTTTTAAGGGAACTTGAAGTAGGCTAGCTGTATGTTGGTATATACTGGGCTCGAGTCTGGCGGCTGTCATCCAACCTGGATATGAATATTCTGCTTGGATGCGATACAATTCGATCCAATGCAAGTTTTATAGAATATTGCTCTAATGCGGATTTCGCATTCTTTCATATGAAATATTCACCCTATGTTGCATATAGCGATGAAGGACCGGTAGTTAAATTTCTTCGCAATGTTATATGAAGGCCTCAATGCCAGTGGGTTTCACTTAGTCTGGTTCCTCAAAAGGCCAAATGAAATTTACTAACATCTTGGAGCCATTCATATCGCTGTGAAAAAATTTAAATATTTTCATTAGGTCGTAGATATGAAGACCAAGATGGTGTGGATTTTTGTATGGTCGTGGTCCCGTTTAGTTGTATAGTAGTTGTTTGACCTTGTTTTCTCAACTTGGTTATATTGGCATGAGGACCTAGAGGAATGCACCTTTTCCTGAGTCCATAGCGTGAATGCTAAATTCGAGAGTCGGACCGTGGACTTGGTACATTCTCAGGCGTTTCGCTGGCATCGTCAGTGAGCCTTGTCATTGTTAGCACGACACTACAACTCGTCAAGCCGATCCTTTTACAAATTGTCTGCTAAATAGTTGTCGTATTTCTTCTTCTTTCCTGGGTCATTAACCTATCCTATCTCCTCGTATCACTCCTTCAATATCACAATTTCGTACTTGTTTATCTAAACCTATTTGAAGCCTATTCACACTCCTCGCTGGTTTCCATATCCCTCCTATTGTGCCGTGAGTGTTGATCCAAGGCTACGGCTTAATCCGCAATCCTCTCCTTTCGTATCCTATCAGAATGCCCCTTTTACTTCATAGGTTCCTTCCCTTATCTGCATATTTCAGGTATTTTATTCCATTGCTGTCACCGTATTCGTGTTACTCGAGGCGTTATGTTCTACGCCTTGCCGCAATCCTTTGATAGCACTTATCCGCCAGCCTCACTGAGCAAACCCTTAAATTCTGGATTCTCAATTAGCATGTCAACGTAACTTGACGCTGGAGATATCCTTATCACTATGCCGAATTTGCAATGAGTAAATCTCGTGGTAAAGCCTTTATTTCATGGACCACGTTTATGATCAAACTTATCTTCTAATAGCCAACTATCAATTGTCTCCGCCGCATCTCTTGCAGACAGAAGGAAAAATATCACAATTGTTTAGCAGACAATTGGTCAAAAGATCGACTTCATTTGTCTCTTGGACAAGTTTTAGCCTGGTTGCTGAGACTGGCAAGACTCACTGACGATGCCGGCGAAAAGCCTGGGAATGTACCAAGTCCACGGTTCCATTCTTGAGATTAGCATTCATGCTACGTTCTCCAGACAATGGGCTTTCCTCTATGCCTTTCTGACAATATGACCAATTTACGAAAACAAGGTCAAATAACTACTCACTGTCTGACTAATAGTCTTTAATTCCCACCCTATGTTACGCCATATTCAAGGATTTAGAGCAGTTGGTGCCCATGCCCATGCCGTGGATCTTCCTCTCTCTCTAGGCTTCAAACTCTTGTTATCAGGGCGACTTAGTAGAAGGCACCTAGTCCAAACTCGTCTGTCATACTAGTTGTCATGATAACCAGCATCAGACAGTAGACTTGGTACATTCTCAAACGTTTCGCCGGCATCATCAGTAAGTTTTGCCATTCTCCGCACCAAGCTACGAACTCGTCAAATAGAGATAAGTGAAGTCAATCCCTCGACAAAAGTCCTGCCGAAAACGGTTACACTATCACTCCTCTTTCTGTCCTGGCCTAATTATCTACTCTTTACTATCTTATCCCATTGCCACCCTATCACAACTTTTCACTTATTTACATTCCACTCGTCAAAATGTGTGCCCTTTTGTGGCAAATCTAGTGTGGCCTCATCACACTTGCTATTCACCCCAACCCCCCCCCTCTCTTTCGATCGGCTGATCCGACTCGGGCCTCCAATCCGGATCCCCTCATTCTCTCGTAGATCCGTTCCTTATCTTTCTGGTTGACCGATTTCACTCGGTTCCAGTCCCAGTGTACATTTTACTCTAGGCGCTATTTATCAAGATCCTAGAAGCACGTACACTGCCGCTTCACTGATCACATACCATTCCTATGCACATCTTTCAGCATGCAACTTAAGATTGCATTGATCTTCATAGTTGGGCCCTTGTTTAATATACAATATGTGATCCTGTCTGGTAGAATATATTTCATCTTATCGGTATATTGTCTTTGTCCATTATCACTGCAGCTCCTTCTTTATCCGCCTGAAGGACCAATTATTCATTCGTTTCCAGGGTTTTGCGTATCACGACAAATCTGTTCCTGTGTGTAAGCTCCTGATGGGTCAAGTTCTTTGTAATTGGTTCCATCTCAATTTTCCATCTTTTCTCCTTAGATAACTTGTCGGCGATGTTGATAACCTCCACCATTGAAGTGATGTGTTTTAATGGGACGCTC